ATCTGGTCGTCCTTCTGGTGCAGCAGCGCCAGCGTGTCCTGGGGGGCCCCGTCGCACAGCCGGCTGCCGGCGAAGTACTTGTCGTACTGGGACGAGCGCACCGTCTGCTGCAGCAGCCGCACCAGCTCCTGCCGCCACGGGGGAGGGGGGCAGACACGTGACACGTCCACTTGGAGCCACACGGGAAGGCGGGAAACGTGGAAACCTGACTCGGGAAGTTTTTTTTTTTTTTAAATCCTCACCCGAGAAACAGGATCGCCTGAGGATACTTGTCCATTGATTTTTGTTTTTTATTATTTCTTACTGGAGGCCCGGTGCACGAAATTCATGCGGGGGGGGGTGTGTCCCTCAGCCCGGCCTGCACCCTCTCCAATCCAGGACCCCTCAGGGGATGTCCGACTGCCGGTTTAGGCCCCATAAACCGGCAGTCGGACATCCCTCTCGCAATCTGGGACCGCTGGTTCCTAACTGCTCACCTGCCTCTGCCTGCCAGCCTGATCGCCCCCTAACTGCTCCCCTGCTGGCCTGATCACCCCTAACTGGCTCTGCCTTGGCCCTAGCCACCGTAGCTTTGTCTGGAAGACATGCAGAAGACGTCCAGTCTAATTAGCATATTACCCTTTTATTAATATAGTTTTTCGCGGTAACCAGTGGATAGAGCGTCGGCCTGCGGACTGAAGGGTCCCAGTCGATTCCGGTCAAGGGCATGTACCTTGGTTGCAGGCACATCCCCAGTAGGGGGCGTGCAGGAGGCAGCTGATCGATGTTTCTCTCTCATCGCTGTTTCTACCTCTCTATCCCTCTCCCTTCCTCTCTCTCTAAATTCAATGAAAACATTAAAAAAAAAAGTCCTCTAAGTGGATCCCGATGCAACCAGTGGATAGAGCGTCGGCCTGCGGACTGAAGGGTCCCAGTCGATTCCGGTCAAGGGCATGTACCTTGGTTGCAGGCACATCCCCAGTAGGGGGCGTGCAGGAGGCAGCTGATCGATGTTTCTCTCTCATCGCTGTTTCTACCTCTCTATCCCTCTCCCTTCCTCTCTGTAAAAAATCAATTAAAAAATATATATATCTTAATATAGTTTTTCTTTAGGGCCTTCCGGTAAAAGCCGGAAGACCTGTCGGACAAATTCAAAAAGAGCTGTAAACACTTGCACCGATTTTGAGAGAGAGTAGAAGCGAGAGGGAGAGACAGAGAGAAACATCGATGTGAGAGAGACACATCGATTGGTTGCCACCAGGGCCGGGGCCAGGGAGGAGCCTGCAGCCGAGGTCCGTGCCCTTGACAGAACCGAACCCGGGACCCTTTGGTCTGCAGGCCGACACTCTATCCACTGAGCCACACCGGCCAGGGCCCTGGAAACAACTTAATACCGAACTTCCTCTTGAAGGATCTCAAAAATAAAGAGGAGATAAAACCGGCTCCATAAAGACAATCACAGGAAACAGGAAGCCACGGCACACACGCTGTGACCAGTGGCAGTCCCAGCGAGCATGCACGGCCGTGTGACAGCAGCGAGTCCGACACTGAGTCACGCTGGCCGCTGGGCAATTAGGGTCATTACGGGCCTGATTAGAAGAAGGAAAGTGCCGTTGGATAGGATGCGGAAAGTCCTTTAAAAAAATATATGTGTATATATACTTTTATTGGTTTCAGAGAGGAAGGGAGAGGGAGAGAGAGAGAGAAGCATCCGCGATGAGAGAGAATCATGGACCGGCTGCCTCATGCACGCCCCGCACTGGGGATGGAGCCCGCAACCCGGGCCTGTGCCCTTGACCAGAATTGAACCCTGACCTCCTGGTTCCTAGGTCGACGCTAACCATTGAGCAACACCGGCGGGCAGGAATTGAAGTCTTTTAACTGCTCAGGACTCTTCGATCCTGAGGGGCAGACACCCCGTCCCCTGAGCCCCCGGGGTCTGCTCTCTCCCTGCAAACTCACGTGTGTCTGAACCGGGCCGGGCCCAGGGCTGGTTGTTCCCCAAAGCCGTGGAGTCATGGGAGGAACCTCGGGACTCACTCAGGGTTCTTTCAGCTGTAACAGGAAACCCAACAAGAACTGGCTTTCGCCCTAGCAGTTGGGTCAAGTGGATAAAGCATCAGCCCACAGGGTGAAGAGTCCCAGGTTCAATTCCAGTCAAGGGCACGGACCTGGGTTACAGGCTCAATCTCCAGCCCTGGTCATGGTGTGTGCTGGTGGCATCCAATCAATGGGTCTCTCTCACATCGATGTTT